CTCCATCGTGCTCCTTAAAGAAAGCGAAAGAATAGAAATCAAGAGGAGTGTAACACGAGGGAATACAATCTTCCCAGTTCTACTTGCCGCGTGCTTGCAGGAGGTTTTCAGAGGCTTAGAATGGGAAGAGTTATGGATAAGAGTTAATGGAAAGTACCTCAGTAACCTAAGCTGCGCTGATGACATTGCATTGGTGAGTAATGCAGGGGACAAATTACAACTAATGATTACGGAATCAGGCAATGGAAGCAGAAAGGTAGGTCTTAAAATTAATCTGCAGAAAACGGAGTAATGTACAACAACCTCGGAAGAGAACAGCGCTTTGAGATGGCAAAAGGGCATCTGAAGTCATAAAATACTCCGTCTGCTTAGGACAGGTAATAACCGCAGAGCCGAACCACAATATTGAAGTAACTAGAAGAATAAGAATGGGCTTGAGCACAATCGGCAAGCACTCTGAAATCATGACTGGTAGATTGCCATTATCCTTCAAGAGGAAGGTATATAACGGCTGCATCTTACGGTTCTTACTTTTGAACCACAAACCTGAAGGCTTGCAAACAGCGTTCAGCTTAAATTGAGCGCAATGCAGCGAGGGATGGAAAGGAAATTGAGAAGTGCAACCTTAGGAGAGAAGAAGAGAGCAGCTTAGAAGAAGGAGCAAACCGGGGTTAAGGAGATCATAGTTGAAATCAAGAAAAAAAATCGACATGCGCCGTGCATGTAGCACGAAGGCAGGATAACCGCTGATCATTAAAGATAACTGACTGGAATTCCAGTGAGGGCAAGCGAGGTAATGAGAGACAGAAAATTAGGTTGGAAGATCGGATTAAGAAGTTTGCGAGTATATATATATATATATATATATATATATATATAAGGTGGCGAGTTTTCCTAATGTCCTAACACAATTTTTCCGCCATCTTTCAGCAGGTTCGTTGTTACCTGATCCTCACAAGCGGCTTTGCCTCTTTGCAAAACTACTAAGTTTTTCGTTACTTCCGCAGTCATTACTGGTAGGATGTCGAATTTTTTTGGGCTATTATTGCTTCCTACGAAATTATCCTGGTTGGTTCAGCTTCCGTGCACCTCTCTGTAGAACTCCTCTGTTACCTCAACTATCCTATCTATATTGGTTATGGCATTGCCTTCCGTGTGCCTCAACGGATACATCCGATTTTTGTCTATGCACAAGTTTGCCTTCGAATTTTCAGGCTTCTCCCGCGTTCTACAGCCTGCTCAATTCTCTCCGTGTTATACTTCCTGATGTCGGCTATCTTACGCCTATTGATTAACTTCGAAATCTCAACTCAATTTCGTCGGTTGAATTTAAGGCTTTTATGGTTTGTCGTCGCTTACTGTGATTTTTCGTTTCCTGAGATAGTGTGCCAGTGTCATGTCTAGGGACTGTACCTCCGATTCCTATTGCACACTCTTCGGTCATACTTGTAAGATTATCATTCTTTGTGTCAACGCTAACGTCGGTGACCTCCTTTCAGGTCTGTGAATCTATTCTCAAGCAAAAATTAAATTACTCTACTTTGCCTCTCACCACTAGTTCATTAATTGGCTTCTTGCGTTTATGTTTATGCGCTTGCTTTTTTTAATCTATAGTCACTGCATTGAATTTGCGAACTACTTCTACGTCCTGTATAGTGCCTGGGTGGGTACAGAGAATGAAGTCAATTTAATTAGACACCACGTTCACTAACGGTTACCGCGTTTTCTGAAGAAGACATTCAAGTTCCGTAAATTATGACGTTCTGCGAACTGTACTATTAACTTCCTCTGGCATACTGGCGCCCATTTTATATTCCTCGATGGCATGGTCTCCCGCCTGTTTCTTGCCTACTTTGGCATTGAAATCGCCCGTTAGTGTGTGTTTACTTCATTAATTGCTGGGTACGTCTTCGAATAAGTGTTCTACCAAATGATAATTATCTCCTAATCTAGGTGCGTAGGTCTGTACCATTTTAATCTTGCACCTTTTGCAAAACGTAATTACGATACTTGCCACCCTCTCACTAATGCTATAGCATTCAGCTATGTTGCCAGCGATGTTCTTGTGTATAAAAAAACGCACCCCTAGTTCTTTTCTGTCAACTAGTTTATGGTAGCATATGACGCGTATATTCGAAAGCTAGTGAATATTTATTGTTATATGGCAGCTTTTGTTGCTGCAATTTCGTTTTAAGGAAGAAAACAGTGTTTGAAGTTATTCGCTGGTGGCAATAGGCAACTTTAAAGAAAAAGCTACCGCATGAAAAAATGTGAAGCTGGCCGCCTTGTACATTCATTTATTAAATTTTTCTTATTTGGTATTGCCAACACCAAGCTTGGGATAGGGCTATATATGCTATGAGGCTACTCCTAGACCTCTTAATCGCAGTGTAGAAATGACAGTGCCTGCACCTGCATTGTGGGAGATACCGCAGCCTCGATTTCCCTAAGCGACCAGCAACCCAGTAGTTTTTCGCACTGACTGCAGGAGTGTACGATGAGTGGTTTCTGGGTGCTCATTCCGAGAAGTGATCCCATGAATGATAGGAGGGTTTTGGCCCACTGTATCCCACCATACAACCTCGGAAGAGAACAGCGCTTTGAGATAGGTAATGGGCACTTGAACTTGTAAAAAACTACGTTTTTATGGCTGGTAATAACTGTGGAGTCAATCCGCTAGTTTGGAGTAACTAGAAGAATAAGAATGGGGTGGAGCACATTCGGCAAGCACTCTCAAATCATGAGTAGTAGACTGCCACTATCCCTCAAGAAGATGGTATAACAGCTGCATCTTCCCGGTCCTTACCTACGGGGCAGAAGCTTGGAGCCTTCCTAAGAGGGCCCAGCTTAAATTGTGGATGACGCAGCGAGCGAAGGAAGAGAAAATGATTGGTGTAACCTCAAGAGACTAGAACAAAGCAGAGTGAATCCAAGAACAAATCGGTTAAGGATAGCGTAGTAGAAATCAAGAAGAGCAAATGGACAAAGACGGGGCATGTAGTGTCCAGGCAGGATAACCGTTGGTCATTAAAGGTAACTGACTGAATTTCCAGAGAACGCCAGCGAGCTAGGGGGAGACAAAAATTAAGTTGGGCAGATGATGTGAGGAGGTTTGTGATTATAAAGCAGCAGCATAAGCGGAGGGCCTAGTTGAGAAGGAACTCACGGGAGAGGTCTTTGTCATGCAGTGGACGTAGTCAGTCTGCTGCTGATGATGAACCTACCATAGCCCCAGTGAAATGGTCCGCGTCCCCACCTAGCTTTTGGAGACGGAGAGTCACCGGTAAAAATGTTCCTTCAGCCAATCCACTTAAGGACATCTCCACTGGGCAGCCAGACCTATAAACTAGGTCACATTTCTTTAGTGTAAGCAGCTTAGTGTCGAGCTCAATCCGGTGCGCGGCATGACCACCCTTACTGCGGAGGTGCATCTGCTCCCCCTCTTTCTCACCTCGCAACGCAGACGCAGGGAGCGTCTGCTAATCTAGTCTTCGCTCGCTACGCCCTCTCTCTGCTATAGGCATTCCTTTTCATGACGTTGTCTCCTCCTCCTCGTTCTTTTCTCGTACACTCCATCTCTTTCGCCTCGCAACGCCGACGTAGGCAGCGTTTGCTAGCAAATTTTGTGAATGAAAAAAAAAAACTGACTGATCACGCTGCACAGCCGTTCGCTGGCCACCCTGTATATGCAGGCACTGGGCCTTGAAATGCAGTGCAGGTGGGAAATTTCTACAGTGCGTGGTTGAAGAATAAGAATTCGCGGCTTGCATGCGTGTACACTAAAAGCGAAGTGTAGGTCTTGGTGTCCAATTAGAGTCTTCTGTCTCAGACGACGGACCAAATCTGGATTTGTCATGGACGCGGGCGGCTAATCCGCGAATGATCCGCCTGCAGGCGCATCCACACGATGGACGGTGTCCTAAGGGAAAACAGCCGGATTATCCTCGACAGCACATTCAGCGCTCACCTGCGCCCGCTGGCAGCTGACCGGTTTGAGAGTATTCAACATGGATGCCCGCAAGAAGCAAAGCTTGGCTGCGATGCCTGTCGCGTTGTGACAAATGAACAAGGAGTGTTATTGTTTCAGGAGAAAGGGGAGTTGCTGGCAGAATGTTCTTTCAGCTGCATTGCTCCCCACTTGCAGAACTTCTGAACACGTCTCCCAACCTTTTTTAGAAGCGGCACGTCGCTGGTTGCAGAAGTTAGAATACTTCACCACCAGGACGGCTAAGAATCTCGCGTGTCAAACGACAGCGGCGACATTTCTTGAACCACCAAAAGTGATTTCTGCATATTTAATCACCTGAGAACAAAGCCCCCGGAATACATGCTTAAGCGTAGATGATGCCGACCAGTCATGCAGCTGTCCGCGAGCCATAGAGGACATGCCGCGAGCAGACGAAAAGTGTACTGGTTGCCAGAAACCCCGAGCTAATCCGCTGAAGTATTGGCTTTCTCCCACCAGAATTCCGATGTGAGAAACAGGTTGGGGTCATCCGTCCACGAGCCGTGCGGACGAGCGGAATCGTTGGTGTGAATTCGCGTGACGCGCCGTCCGTCCCTCCACATCCGGATTCGATCTGTCGTCTGAATGCACCATTAGCAGCGATTGCCATATTCTAGCAGGAACCATCGGGTCATCACTACGTGCTTCGTTTCTCTCCAGGTTTATCTTCTGCGCAACGCCACAATTACACATGGTTAACTTTAGTGGGAGATGGTGTTTTTTTATGTATGCGTCGAGAAGGGTCTTGATAGGTAAGAGAGATGCAAGTATGGTACAACACAGAATGTCACTGGAATTCCGAGATGCAGACTTGGCTAAAGTGGGAGAGCTTCCCTGTTTAAGACAATTATAAGAATTCCTTCTTGAGTCATTTTCAATTGAGGCTTTCGACTTGACCTGAGCCTTGCATGAACAAAGATGTAATTGATGTGCATCCACTAGGGGATATTCTGGCTGACAAGGCACACATGGCCGGCGGCACCCTTGTATGCAGGTTGCGGGAAGCGGGGTTCTTGGTGGACCTCCTTCCGGACGTGGTCGAGCCGGGCGCCATGGCTGGACGCCTCAAGTACCCCTGGTATGGCATTCCCGTAGGCACACCTGTGCACGCGGCGCTGGGTGACATGCAGTGCTCCGTGCTGTCTGTGGGTGCCGGAGAGACTGACGCTGGTGGGTGTCATTCTCTTTGGCCGTGCTCTGCATAGCACGGGCTCGTCGCTGTAAAAATTATGACCTTGTAGCATCAGACAGAGTTTAAAAGTATTCTCAACAAGACAAACCATACTCGATTGTAGACCAGCTCAAGTTGCTTGTATTATTCCGCCTAATTGCGTAATCTGAAAAACATATTCTGTTTAAAAGTTACAATATTGAATGTAGTAAGTAGTCATCAGAAAAAATGTGATAAGTCAGATGCTTGGGATACTTGGTGATTGGGAATAATCATATAAACAAACAAGACTACGAGTAGTTACGTCGTAACTACTCGTAGTCTTGCGTTGTGCAAATATGTTGAAATGCGATAAAACTGTTTTTTCACCATTATTGCGATAGTAATCATATGGACACTCCGCTGGATTACGCCGCCGGCGTTGGCGTCGACGTCGACGTGGGCGTCGCCGTCACTCACCATATATGTATACGTATCTAGGTATATATATATGAAAACGCAAGAAATAAAAAGGCCAGGCTTGCGCGGAAGGTGTAGCACAGTCACAGGGGAATCTAGAAGTGCGGCCTTTCAGAGAATCTTCTAAACGCTCATTGGGTAAAGAACACGTGCTTGATGTTGACTGTGGCATTAAAATAAAAATTTCAGAGTATTGGCCGGCACTAGCTATGCTATTTTTGTCATTCTGCTGAGAAGCCTGGTATACGCTAAACTATTGCGAAGAATTTTGTGCCAATTGTTCATGCAGTGGCTGACGATGATGAGGAATTATGCATGAAGTGGGTATGTGCTACAGTTAATGGCTGAAGAAAAATTACGGCATATTCACGGGGTGAATGATGATGAATGGGCGAAGCTCCGAAGGGATTCATCGGTAAACTGTGAATCTTCCGTGTAATTCGCCCAGTCGATCATCATGTAAAGACGTGAGAAACGCTGTGTGTGTATATACACAAATCAATTTTTATTTGTTCTTAGACGATGGATGGCTTGCGATGTCCCTTGCCTCGCGCGCGCTCGCACATCGGGATTCTGTCTGCGAGCGCGCGCTGCTGCCGCCTTGCGCTCTCTCCGCTGTGCAGCCTTATCCATCCGGCGACTCCGAGCGCGCGCCAACAGCGAACGGATTTTATTACAACGCTCCCCCTAGCGTACGTCGCCGCACTAAATCGAACGATTGCCTTCAACCAATGAGACGCGCCATATGTGACATCATTTCTATTTTATAAGATCTCGCGTCTTTCATCAACCACGAGTACCGCTTTCCAGTTTATAACATCTGCATCTTTTCATCATCAACTACAAGTACCACCATCTAGTAAACACTACAAGAACTAAACGAGAGGTGGCTACATGGATGGATGGATGCTATGAGCGTCCCCTTTATAACGGGGTGGAGACAAGTATGCCACCAGGCTCGACAAAAAATAAAAAAAAAAACCTTTTTTCTTTTTTTTTATGTTGGCCTAATGCCTCTACTTCGATAAATTCTATCTTCATGGAAAAAAAGGTAAATTTTCAGCTTAAGTTCTCTGCCATTTACGGCACACTGTCCATATTTTATTTTTCCAATATTTATTTTTGTCCTTTCTCTCTAATTTTCTGCCACCAATACTCTAACCGTCTCTTACTTATTTCAATCGCGGGTGTGTTTAGCTTTCCATTGTTGTCCCTAAAACCCAAGGCTTCCTGTAGGCTCGTGCCCAAACGTACACCTGGGTGGATATCTCCACATTCAATCAGAACATGCTCCGCCGTTTCCTTATCTTTCCCGCAGCATGTGCATTGTTCTTCTTCTTTACTGAATCTTGCTTTATAACTACGCGTTCTAAGGCAGCCCGATCTCGCTTCAAACAGTAAAGCGCTTCCCCTTGAATTATCGTAAAATGCCTCCCTCCTTATTTCATTTTTGCCCTTTCGGTAGTTACTCAAAGCCGGTTTTTTCTCCATAGCTGCCATCCAGTAGATCCTCTCCGCCTCCCTGACTTTTCCCTTAACGCTCTTTGTTGACATATGGCTCACAATACCAGCCGTATATTTACTAGTGAGTCTTCTAGTTCTTTTTCTCCACTGTGTGTCCACGCTCTTCCTATACAAATAACGGAACACCTTCTCTGCCCATCTACCCTCCTTCATATTTCTTAGCCTTTCTTCGAACCTTATTTTGCTCTGCGCTTCCCTCGCCTCAAAACCTGCCCACCCCATATCGCCTTTTACAGCCTCGTTTGTCGTCTTCCCATGAGCACCCAACGCGAGGCGTCCCACAGTCCTTTGATTTACATCCATTCCCGATTGCACCTCTGCCCTCATGCACACCACTGAGTTCCCAAAAGTAAGCCCTGGAACCATTACACCCTTCCACAGACCTCGAAGCACCTCATACCTATTGTATCCCCACAACGCTCTGTGCTTCATTATTGCCGCATTCCTCTTTCCTTTTGCTGCCGAGGCTTTTTCCTGTACCTCCATGTATCTATCACTCTCATTTACCCATACTCCAAGGTACTTGTATTCACTTACCCTCGGTATTTCTTGGCCTTGTATGGACACCGTCTGATCACAGGGATCATTGAATACCATCAATCCACACTTCGTTACACTGAATCCTAGTCCAAGAGCTTCACCTTCCCTTCCGCATATATTCGCCAGCTGCTGTATATCATCTCGACTGTCCGCAAATAAGACGATATCGTCCGCATAAAATAAACCTGGAAGCTTCTGCTCAATCATCATGCCGCCCTGTTTGTGTGACAGATTAAAACCAATGTTGCTACCTTCTAGCGCTTTTTCCATACTCACCATGTACAGCATGAATAACAGCGGGGACAAAGGACATCCCTGTCTCAGACCCCTGCTAACCTCAACGTTCTCTTTGCTACGCATTCCTTCCCACTCTATGGAAACTGTATTTTCTTGGTATATCTCCCTCAAAAGCTGTATACAGTCATCGCCCATGCTGCATTCCTTTCAATATATCCCACAAAATTTTCTGATTAACGTTGTCGTATGCCCCAGTGATGTCTAGAAAAGCCACGTACAAGGGCCTATTCTCTATTTTAGATATTTCTATACACTGAGTGAGAACAAACAGGTTATCGTCTAACCGCCTGTCGACTCGAAATCCGTTCTGAAGTTCTCCCAAAATATCGTTATGTTCGGCCCATGTTTCTATTTTCATTTTTACTGCTTGCATCGCCAACCTGTATAGTACCGATGTAATGGTTAGTGGTCTATACGAGCGAATCTCGTCCTTTTCTCCCTTGCCTTTATAGATTAAGTTCATTCTACTTTGTCGCCAACTGTCCGGTATTTGTCCGTCCTTTAAGCTTTTTTCTAATGCTTTTAACAATGCTTCTTTAGTGTTATGTCCTAGTTCGTTAATGAGGCTAACGAGAATCCCATCTAAACCCGCGGCAGTGCGCTTTGGAATTTTTCCTTCGGCCTTTTTCCAGTTGAAATTATCAAGTACTAGCTCTTCCTCTGTTGCTTTCTCCGCCACACTTTTACTCACCGGGGAGATCCCCTGGACGCTCTTTTGAAACGAATCGGCTGTTACCTTTTGGATGTAACCTAGCGCTTCGTACCCTTCCAATTGATTTCCTCCTTCATCTAGAATATGTTGTTGCGTTGTGACAGACTTCCTACCTAGCGCCTTTATGTGGCTCCAAAAAATCCTAGGCGCGGCCTCCTTTTTTTCGTGTATCTCTGTCATCCAGCGTTCACTTTCACCTTTAATTTTTGCCTCTACCAATTTCTGTACATGGGATTTTTTCTCTAAATATATTTCCCATATTTTTTTGACTTCGTCCTGCGGCCGCTTCTCCTTTTTTGCCTTTCTATGCTCCCGTGATGCTTCGCGTCGCTTCTCGATCGCCTCCCGGATTTCCTTGTTCCACCAACTTTTTGACTTCCTTTTTCCTTTCCAGCAAACAGTTTTCTTCTCTTTCCCTATCTCCTTCGTCATTAGATGTAACAGCTCACTATACTCCCAGTCCTTGCCTGGTATTTCGCCTACTTCTTCCTCGACTCTTGCGGCTATATTTATTATTTGTTTGTCATTTAAATACGAGCTGCCAGACTTTGATTCCATGCTCATATTTTCAGTTTCGTATCCCATTTGTAATGTTATTCGTTTATGATCACTACCCAAGCTGTTAATGCCTTCCTCGTCTATCCTCATTTCTGTCAGTTTGTGGTAAATTCCTTCAGTCATGAGACAATAATCAATACTTGATTGCTTGTTTCCGACTTCCCATGTGATCTGGCCGTCACATTTAGGCCCCGTGTTAACTATCTCCAGACTATGTTGCTCGCAAAGATCTAGTAATAACTTCCCATTGGTGTCTGAATATCCGTCAAGGTCATGTATGTGGGCATTCATGTCCCCTAGAAGGATGATTTCGGCCCCATTACCAAATTCCTTAATATCCGCACTCATGCAATCCACTATCTCCTGATTCTTTTCTCTGCAGTTATTCCCCGTCCACAAGTAGGCTACCCCTAGCCACTTTTCCTTTCCACCTACTGTGCCCAGAACCCGGAGGTGCTCTGAACACGTCTGTTTCACTCTAACCCATTTGGCTCCGCGGTGAATTAGCATTCCTACACCCCCACCTTTCCTTTCCGATATGGTCCTGTTACACCCTTCCCAAACATAATTTTTAATATGTGGTGGCTCTTCCAAGTCTCTAAGGTGTGTTTCTTTAACCGCATACACGCCTATCTGTTCTTTGTTTAACTGCTCCTCAATCTCTAACCATTTTGCCTTCTTTCTGCCACCCTGCATGTTTATGTAACTAATTGCAACACGCGCCTTTTTCCTTTTTCTTTTACCTTTTTTCTGGTTTTTCGCAATTCTACCTGTCAAAGCGTCCTCCTGGTTGTTTTCCCTGTTACGAGCTACCCCGGACTCCGAAGGGCCCGTGAGCCCCCCAAAAAAGCTACTGCGCGTCCTGCCAGTCGCCAGCCCACCTCGTGTCCAAGCCTCTTATCGAAACGA